GCGGAGAACTCAAGAGTCCAGGCTCCAGCTCCCCCTGTTCTAGACCCTGCTCCCAATTTCCCCCTCCCTGAGGAGGCTGGCTGTGCATTTTGAGGACAGAAGCTCAGGTGAGGACCTGTGCAGTGTCTTGAGAGCTGAGGTTATTTTTAACTGTGGGTGGAGCCCTAGGCTCGACTAGCCAGGGGCTGCGGGTCAGGATTCAGGGACACTGGCAGAGCAGTGGAGGCGCCTTGGGAGGGATAGCTGGGGGTTGCAGGCCGGGATGAAGGAGCATAGACGGATTGGCAGGGGAAGGGGACAGGGCTTGAGTGGCAGGGGCTGTGGGTTGGGATTGAAGGGCCTGTCGTTTGTTTGGGCCTGGCACAGTTCTCCTCATGTGACCCTAGCACAATTCACTCCAGATGCTGCCGCACGCAGCCGCGCCTCCTCTGCATTTATCCACGGCCCACAGGGCTCCAAGACCCTGTTCCTGCTGCTGCTCTGTGCTCACCACCAAGCCAGTGTGTACACGTAGCAGAACACCGCCCTGGGGGGTCACAGCGCTGGGATAACTGGGGCTGCAGGTCAAGAGTGAGGGGCATGGGTAGACTGAGGAAGGCGCCCCGGCTGGTAGCAGGAGGCTGCCAGGTGGGAAGGAGGGGCACTGGCAGAGCAGGGGTGTGGGAGCCCAGGGCTGGGACAGCACATCAAGCCCATACTACAAACTAACATGGGTTCAAATGCAACTGCCCAGGAGCCTGCCCAGCTGGGTGTGGGAGTTGCTTAGAATCCTCCTCTAGCTGTCACCCCCGCAAGCTAATCAAAGGCTGGGAAGGGAAACAGAGCAACTTGCCCAGGGTCACCACATCTGGGCACTGAACTCATCACCCCTGCTTGCCAGGAGTCGAACCCAGTGTCCTGACTCCTAACACCCCAACCCTTCCCCTTCACCATTACGTCTCTATCCCCGTTCCCCTCCCATAGCCAGGAACACAACCCAAGCATCCTGACATGACCCCCTCTCCCCACTGCTCTAACCACTAGATGGCCCTCCCTGAGCCAGGACCCCCCAGCCACTGCTGCTCCCAGCATTCCCTCTTCCCAGCCATGCATGGCCCCTTCTCTGCTGTTCCCACAAGCGGGGGCATCCCGACAGCTTCAATATGCAGAGCCCAAGTCACCTGTGCACCACCCCTACCCCCAGAGCCTTCCAGCCAGCAGGGACTATACACCCCGAGCACTCCCAGCTACCCTGACTCCATGGATTTGGATGAGACTGGCATATTCTACCGACCAGGCCTTGTCCCTGCGCCGCTGTCAGGAGACATTATTGATCCATGCTGCAGCCTGTTAGTGGCTCTCCGGGGAGGGAGGACGACACGCAGCTTTCAGTAGCGAGATCCATTGGCATCCGGTTTATCCCTGCAGGACTGGGAAGGGAGAGGGGCTGCTTTGTAAGGACACTGAGAATTTGGCGACTCCTGATTCTGCTGAGCCCTGTGCTCTGCCCCACACTATTCAGTGACTTTACTGGGGATCTGGAGGTCAGTTTTAAACTGCAGATGACCTGGTTGGTGGGTAGCACAACCCTGCAGTAAATAACACTGAGGTCAAGGGCAGCCCTCCAAGGCTACTGGGCCCTTTGGAATAGCATGTGTTTTAATGCCATCAAAGGCAAGGTCCCGCATGAGTGGGACACAGGCCATGCCTATAGAAGAGGGACTGGATCCTGAAGAGCAGTGTTGCAGGACAGGATTCAAGCATCAGAGAAGATGAGCAGTTGATTGACCCTGAGCTCCCCGTACGACCGTAAGCTCAGCTGGCAGAGGACTAGGGAGTAGGAGCAGGGAGAGGAATTTACCTCTGCATGTGGCATTGGGGAGACCCGCCCTGGGATGGTGCTGCCACTTCTGGGCACATATGTTAGAAAAGGCGTTGAACAATTGGCAAGGGCGCAGAAATGAGCCACAAAGGTAATTTGAAGGCTGGAAAAATCTTGACTCAGAGCTGAGACTGGCAGAGCCCCCTAGCACAGACACAGCCTCTATGGACAGATAGAACATGGCCTCCCTGGCGTACGTTTCTCCCTTGACCTCACTGTGGCTGCTCTGGGGAGTGTCAGCACCGCTCTGGGTCGGCGACTGGGGTGTGGTTTTCCCACCCTTGGCCAACATGTCTAACGGGCTTGAACTTTGAAGGTTGGTCTACACTTATCTCTGTTTAGGATCTGGTAAAGAAGCTTGAGAGGTCATGTTGAAACACTTAGCACTCTTTAATCCCATGGGCAGAGGCAAAACAAGAACCAGTGGCTAAAGGATATAGCCAGACACCTTCCACTGAGGAATACATGCCCCAAGGTTTTACAGTTCAGGTGAAGAGCCATTGGAACAAACTCCCAGGAAGGGGTGCCTTCAAGTGGAAGATGCTTTCATCAAACTCAGGTTCTGGGACTCGATGTGCAGGGAGAACTGGGTGCTAATTTCTGGCCTTACAGTTGGTGAATCTCTGTCTGTGATGCGCTGGATGCAGATTCCAAGGAAGAGATTGTGTAGCTGGGCACGCAGCAGGGGTGGAGAAAGGGTTGAAATGAACAATGGGGAAACTGAGGCTGGGGAGCATCTCCACCTTGAGACCTGTCCCCGTGGGAAAACAACCTGAGAGTCTGTCTGATTAAATGGCAGGATTTGAAACACCTTGAAATCTCCACACAAGGTCTGCTGCCCCTGAAAATTGCCCTGCAGGTTAGGAGGGGTGGGATAGAGCCTGGAATACAAATGGGGAGGGCTATCTGCTCACAGAGTTTCCAATTTACAATCCCCCCTCCCTCCCAATGATGTGCTTTTCAACTTCATTGGCTTATTTTGCCCAGAACTAGGATGTAACATAGAACCTGGTAGCTACATTAAACCCAGCTTCCTGGACAGACCTAGAAATCAGCTAGCCTACCAAATCAGGAAGTTGCCCCTAACCAGTTACATAATCATAATGGCAAATTGATTGTGATTGTTGATTGCTGGCTGAGTGGTTTCAACTGCCAGTTTTCCCTCTCCAGAAGGGTCAGTGTTGCTAATCAGCATTCTTTTAGTCCTTTTAAATTTATTTTATGTATTTATATATTGAATTATTAGGCCAGACATACACTAATAACTAGGGAACTTTCTCCCACTAGAAGCTAAGAAGCCCAGAATGTAAACAGAACCTGGATGTATTTTTAATAATGTCACCTGAGAATTTTTTTGGCATATCTGGGGCTAGCAAATGATGGTGGCAGCATTACTACTGGACCTGGTCTTTCTGGAGACCTGAGTTCTAGTCCTGATCTTTCTGTGCCTTGGTTTCCCCACCTGTGTAATGTAAATAAGGATTCTGGGCTCCTTTGTTAAGTGCTTGGCAATCTAGGTATTGTTATTCTTATGATACTAGTAGCTGAAGGCCAGGCCATCATACTGGTTTGGTAGCTAGGTCAAGTAATTCACCAACTGTGCAGTCTTCCTCCTCCAAGCTGTGAAACTGTTGCATGCAAATTAGCTGTTGAGCGAGGGTGGTGATTGGTTGCATTACCTCTGCTATCACAGTGTTCTAGAACTCTTGATGTGGCATGGATACATGCCTTCCTGTGGCTGTTACTCCCCACAGGAGACATTTGTTGTGTCAGAACAGCTGAGAACTTAAAACCTGGGCGGTAGCAGGCTGCAAAGCCCTATGATGGTTGAACCTGGTGATATTCAGAATCCAGAAGAGCTTTCACACTTTCCTCCATCCCTTCACACTGACTCCACAGACTGTCTAGGCTGTGAGTGACACGCAGACAATCCTGCAGTCATTGTACAGGAACACACTTTGTTGAGCTCGGCTAGAGGGAATGGCAATCTTTTGTGTCTGGGACAAAGACAGTCGGGCGCCTGCACTGCAGCGGGTGCTCCCTCACTGGAGTCTTTGTATCGGACATCTCAAAGCTGTGCTGGAGCTTGCCAGCAGATCCAGGCTGTGGTCACACAGATCAGACAAGATGGGCAAAGGGCACTCCTGGGCCCTGCAGGGGATACCCACTGGCTCTTTGGGAATCTGCCCACTAGCTTCAGGCTGGGATATGCCCACCCTTAATGCCCCAAACCCGCTGCTCTGGGCATCTGCATTCCTGAGCCTCCTCAAATGTGTCCCCTACCCCTGGGGCTTTGCAGTCTTACCCCCTCCCTCCTTCCTGGGGCCTGGCCGAGCTCACACAGGCCAAGGCCACACAACTGGGTTTCATTTAGGACCCCACCCCAGCTGGGGACTACCAGCACCACACCAGTCAGTCATCCCCAAACACAGCCCTCTATGTATATGCGCCACCCTTCTACCTCCCTGCCCCCCAGCCTTCCATCCCCCTCCCCCCTTTCAACACTCCACTCTCAGACACCCCCACCCTTCTGTCTCTCTATGCCCATACCTCCCCCACTCTGATTCCTTTACTCCCTCCCTGACCAGCAGTCTCATCCCCAGCTCCCCTTCCATTCTGCTTCCTGCTCCCAATTTCTTCCTCAGCCAGACTCCACCCCCTGGCAGAGCCAGTTTAATATGGTCCCCCTCCATATCTTCCCTTGTGCACCAAAGAGCACCCAGGAGAGCTAATGCAATGGCCTGGCACACTAGGTACAGGGTGCCCTGAGTGTGGAGGGGGTTTCTGAGTGCAGGGATCCCCCATCCCTGGCAGCCCTCCCATGCTGGGCACTGGCACTGGTGCTAAAGGCCCAGCCCCCAGTGGCCCGTGATTGTGGTAGGATCACCACTCCCAGGTATTGCGGTTGAGGAGAAGAGGTGACCCAGGTGTGACCAGCACCTGCCAGAGTCTGCCAAGAGCCTGAGCCCATTGCTCCTAGAGTGGGAGCTGCCCCACCCCTAAGCCCCACAGCCTGAGTTTGCACAGTGTCTGAGCCAGGCGCTCTGGGGGGGGGGGGGG